GCCAGCAAGAAGTAAAGACATCTCGCCTAGAAATACTATATGTTCTGTTTAATAAATGTATTCTATCCTAAGTAGTAGTCGAGCTCATTTTGGCGTGGGAGGAGAAAAATGCACAAATTTACAGCAAAAACGACCCTACTGACCTCGGCTTGTTTTGTATTTTTTAAATTTCATTCACTTCCCAAAACACTTGTAATCCACCAAATCGAACGATTCGTAGAGGGAATCGCTGTTTCACTGAACCCTCGAGTATGAACGCACAACTATTTGTTATTACAGCATGCCATCACCGTAAAATGCACCAAGCGGTATAAACCACATATCTGGGACAAACGAAGATTACCTCCGAGCACACAACTGCATACGATTGTGAATTGGTTCAGTGATCGGATTTACCGGCGTAATACTGCTCGTTTCCAGCGGTGGCCCCTCATCGACTGTTTGCACTGGCAGATAACCGATTTTAGTTTTGCTTCTCGCTCGTAATTTATTCCTCACAATAAGACCGAAATCACGCACATCCTCACCTGATGTTGTCTGAAAATTATGCAGATATATTTCTACAAAAATTTGGTTTTGAAAAAAAAAAGCCAAACAGGGATGAATTTGCTTCAGTTTTCAAAGAAACAGGCTCAGTAGTAATCAGTTTCCGATAAAAACCCCATAATTTCCAGAAATTTCTTCAAAATTAAGAAAAATGGCACTTGAAATACAAAAACAAAATTGGCCAAAAATTTACATATTTGTCTTAAAAAATAAATTTAAAGAAAAAGAAATAAATAAAACTCACTGGCACGCAATATTCCTGCATTGGATGTGATAATTTGTGGTTCTTGGCCAGCCTTTGACTGAAGAAGCAATTCTGACAAACATCCACGTTGAAGCATCGCAAACAACGATATCGTAATCCAATTATTGGGAACATTTTACATACATTACATTTTGCCTAAAATCTGCTAAATTTGAAAAAAAAAAGATTCTAAAAAAAACCGGAAAAGTTGAACAAAATGAGCCAAAGCAGTTCAAAATTCGGCTGCTACCGCTGTTTGTTCAAGTTACTGTTGAGGAAGGTAATGAGGTGGAGAGGGGAAATTGGTTTGCCACTGTTCTCTTCACAAGTTACTGCTAACAGGAACAATGAGGTAGAGGGAGAAAGTTGCTCTTAGATAAGATAGTGAGTAAGAAGGAAATATGAAAAAGGAATCGTCACCTGATGTTTGGCAAATTCGGCACTTCCAAGACGATGCATTACAGGTAGCCAAACGATACTTTGCGGCTCCTTTTTTAACCAGTTCAAGAATTCATCAATCACAATTGTCCGCGGATATTTCGCGGATTCAAAGCAAGATCTCACGGAGGGCTCAACGTTTGAACCACCGAATGCTGCTGCTTCACCGAAAAATTTTGGGATCTGAAAATTCGTGAGAAAAAAAAAAAACTTCTTGACTCTCTCTTGACCAGCAAATCTATTGGTACACAGCCTCAGCTTTGAGTCACTAGTCCAGTTCATCAATAAGAGAACCAGTTCTCGTTCGAATGGTAACAAGACTGCTGCGTGTACACTATGCTTGGGAGTAAAACCTCGGTTACTACTGTTGTCAACATACTGCCGCTTACGACTGCCCCGTCTTTCACAGGAAGCAAATCAGAGAGGGGGAACGTGGCTACTGACCTCTTCATTACGTCAATAGATACCAGGATTTTTGTTGAAATCCTCTCATGAATTATAGAGTTTTGTTAAAAGTCGGAACTACTAAATATACCAGTAACACCACTAACATGGGATACATGCACTGACACTGCGCAGATGACCCCGGGTATTTTTGGTATGAGGCGAAGGCGCTCAAAAGTCTTTGAGAAATGGCTTACATGTATGATGTCATATAAGAGCAGAGCAAGTTTCTTCTGATCAACACCTTCATTGTTTGCGATAAGTTGATACATATCTGAAAAAAAAAAAATATTACATAGCAATAAAATACTATAAACTTTGTTGAACTGGCACTTCGTTTAAAAGACAAAACGAATGTCAGGATCACCAACGGCAGGCTGTCACCAAGCAGTGCAGCATTAGTCAAAGAAAACGGAGAAGTTGTCTAATGCATAGTTGAAGAAGCAAGCTATGAACTGCAACTATTTCAAGTATCAAAGTGAGTATGATCGCTATTCACAAGTCGTTTTACCGAAAAATGGAAAAATAATGGTGTAAAATAAAAATAGTGTTAAATAACAATATAAAATCGTTACAAAAAAAATGTGTAGCACTTACATCGGTATTTATCTTCCAATTCTGAATTGCAGAGTGCAGCGAGGAGAACACGGAAAGAAAATGTTCGCAAAATACCATCACGGGCTCTTAAAAATTTCAAGCAAAAGTTGTAAACAGATAAAAAAAAATTTATCCGGGATTAAAATTAGTCAGTTTAGCCTAGCAAGCCGATGCTATAGCAAAAAATGCCTAGCCTTGGGCTGAATTCTACAGTTCAAACCTACATGTGAAAAAATCAGTCCCTTCCCAACTCGCCTATTTGTTCCTTTGAACGACCAAGAGAGATAATGCTAGTACGTCAAGAAATTGACTCATTTATAATTTGCTTCTTACTGCTCTTACTGCAACCTGGAATAGGGGCCAACCAACGGTCAGTAATAGGTTGGTTGATACTAGCAAAGTGTCTTCACTCACATTACTTCTGGATGTATTCACCTTTCAAAGACAATAAAATACGGAAGAGTTCTGGACCCACTGCCTGCCTGGTCAACGTATGTGTCTCACCTCAAAATTAAAACAAGAAAAGCAGGAACTAAAATTCGAAACGGATAAAATAACTTACGGATCAAATACATTTAAAACAAAATTGAGCAGTAGATCAACGGCCAGCGGTATGGAATGGATCAGTTTTGGATATTTCTCCTGGGCTGCTTCAAATAATGGTACCAAACACATCACAGCATCTTTCATTGATAGGCATTGCTCACCCCATACAGCGTTGAGCGTCTGCAGCTTGCTATTCACATCTTCCAGAGTTAGCAGATCCACTGCAAGTCAGGAAAACTGATTCGTAATTTTTAAGGATTCTTAAAAAAAACTAAAACAAAAAAGATATTTAGGGAGGGTTAAGGTACCACTATAAAGTACAATGAGATACTTAATACTTGGTAAGGTATCTGAAGATACCGTCAACGCATACCTCGTAGCCTACTTATAAGACCAGGTGGTGATGCTCAAAATTCACAGAAGAGATTCTGAAACCGCTGCAGCGTTGTCAAATGTTGTAGGAAAATGAAACAGCCTTTCAGAAGAGAAAACGAACGTCAGGATCGCTAGTAGGCTGACCACCAAATGCTCAGCATTTGTTAAAGGCTGGAAAACTGGAAAACCAGCACAGGAATTACAGCCGATATAGCGCCAAAAACTTGAAAAATTTTTCAACTCGTTCACTTAAAATGGAGATAAAATTTTGAAATGAATTAA